GATTGTTATATTGAGGGCCATCGTAACAAGTAATCACACTCGGAGGAAATCTTTTTTTCCTATTTACTTTATGTTGAAGTAAACTTTCCTTTAAGACGTCTTCACTTAATGTCATGCATTATTAAATTACTACTTGCATGAAAGTGGTCAAACTTTGATGTGTATTTTCAACACGCCTACTTTCATTTGTGCTTCATAAACTCTGGAAAGAAAATATTGAACAGTAAATTGTCTTTGCCTTTAAATGTTTTAATCTTGCATCCTCTTGTTAAAACGTAGCGTCCATCAGTCCCCTGGTGTTGTTGTCCTGTTGTTGCTGTAGGGTTAGAGGTATTGATCCTTCTACGAATGTCCTCTAGCTCATTTTCCACTGGTTGTTATTCACTTGCTCTATTAGGCGTGAGTCTTCTTGTCCTGCCTCCAGCAGGATGTAGCACATGTGAGGATGACACGGCAACAGAAAAGGATGACGGGGTTGATTTTATTTTTTAAAGTAAAGTCACTGCAAATAAAAAAATATATATTTATAATATTTGTTTGTTATCAGCTATCCACTGAAACTGGATATAATGACCATATTTAGATTTTTGTATTTTGTATAACATATTTCAGTTTATTTATTGAAATGTCTAAAACCGACTTGACCTATGATATATATATTGTTGATTTGTGTACTTACATTATCCAAAATGTTTCCAACAATGGTCAATGTCAGATGTGGTTCTGTTATTTTTAGCAGGGGGGCATTGGTCTGTTTGTGCCTCCAGGAGTAGAAGAGATCACGGACCAGGAAATGCACAAATGCCCCTCGAGCGCCTCTTAACTGTCTCTGGTCCGATCTCGTTCTGTCACAGTGGGGTCTCTGTAGACGCTAGGGTTAGAAGGGAAAAGTTGCGTTCGAGTTCCTGTGTGTGTTTCTCTGCGTCCCCATAGATCCTGTGGAGTCATTCAGCCCTGCACACACTCGAACGCCGTGGAGCAGTTTCCCTCTCACAAAGCAAAACACTTTATTTCAAACAGCAGATGAAAACATATCTAGTGGTATGTAAGTGAGGCAGCACCGGATGCAATTTGTGTTAATCTGCGATTTGATTTTGACACATTTATAATGCAAACACCGCCGCACTGTTTCGCTGCTCAGTTTAACGGCTGCCTGCATGCTTCCTGCACACCTGTATAATGTCAGCTGATGTTGTGACTCGTGGGCTCTCCGACAGCGAGCCGGTGTTCTGTAAAGCAGCTGGCAGATTACTGAGTGGCTCCTGGCAGATATTGTCACAGTTTATCTCAATTTTACATGGTAAATGGGGTGTGGACAATGAAACTGTACACAAACTATGATGATCCTCCTGTGGCTCAGACTGTGAATTATGTTTTATGGATATCGCAGCACAGAGCTGGAGGTTCAACAGACAAGCAGCTGGTTAGTAAAAAAAAAAAGAAATCTGCTTTTTATTTCTCCTTTAACTTATTTTTCGGGGATTAAATCAACCTGTTAATCATGTGACACATATTCAGTCCTGCACACACGTATAAAAGAACCCGCCTCCTACACATTCTGTTCAGGTACAACTTATTTATGGCTGTGAATAACAATTGTTATCTCAGGTGCTGCCATCTTGTGAGCCATCAATACACACTCTTGACCAATCGCAGGAAGGCCTCAGCTGTCACGATGTTTCTCCTCGTTTTTAAAGCATAATTAAAAATAAACCATTGAGAAAAATGTGTCCCATCTGCTAACATGGAGGAGGAAATGTGCTGAATCCAGCCACCGGGAGGCAAATAAGATGTTTTTGTCTTCAGTTGTAGGAGCTGTCATGTCGTCCATCTTCATTTACAGTCTATGGCTTTGTTCCTTCCTAAGTGTTTTAGTAAGTCTTGTGTAACAGAATCAAAATGCCTGGATTTGAAAAAATACATTGTTAGTGCAACAATGAGATTTGCTCCAAAATGTATTGTAAGAAAGAAATTGTAAGAAATCTACACACACACACAAGGAACAATGCATTGCCTCCATCTCCATTCAAAAGGTGAACGTGCACAGAGATGAAAATCTTGCTGTATGCAGCGTTTCTTTTGTGCAGCAAATGTTGCCCATCCACGAGACGATGAACGGTAACAGTGCATGACAGAGCAGAGGAGCCCTGCGTTAAGAGGAGCGAGCCGCTCTGTGACAAAGACAGAAACAAGAGCTTGTCACAGCACAGTCACGTCCCTCAGCCTCCAGTGACAGGATTACTCACCACAGAGGGAGTCGTGTTAAATCATACATGTTCGCTGTGGTTCATATGATGACAGAGAGGTGAAAAAGTCGAGATGGAGGCCTCCTGTATCTGCAGTTCACAGACGATGATGTCTCTGCTGTCATGTCATATTCCAACAGGGAATGGAGCAGATCCTGGTTTATGATTTCATTTTACCTTGTTTTATTGTAAACAAACCCGGCAGGTAGTACACGGTATACTTTGTCATCGAATACTCTCACTTAATCCACTCAGAGTTTTTCCTTTTAAATGTCCATAGTATAAGATTTATGTGAAAGGGATCTATTGAATATAAAATAACAGTGATGTTTTCTCTCGTGTGTTTTATCTAAATTGTATGAATTGTTCTTTACCCTGGAATGAGTCTTTTATATTTAAATACTTTATATTTACATTGGGAGCAGGTCCTCTCTATTGAGGCCGCCATGTTTTTTACAGTAGCCCAGACTGGACAAACTAAAAACATATTTAGTTCCAACAGGTTCTCTGTCATATTTTGAAGTGGAGGGTGAGGTGAGGGGTGTTCAGCTGCGACATGACACTTCACCAATAGATGTAATAATTTGGCCAGTTTGGTTCTTTGAATTGTCCCTTTAAAGACTCACAACTTATCATGGCTCCAAAAGGTCGGTACCTGAGAGCGGGAGCATATGTATTCATGTGAGAGAGAAAGCGTGAGGAGTTCTATTTGACAGAAACAAACAGCCCTCCCTAAATCCAGGTACTTAAAGCTTGGAAAGTTTTCAGCCAGAAATTGCAGGGACAGATGGAGGGAATGTGCATCCGTGATAACGAAATCGATTTCATTTAGAACTCATCAGCCGCGGCTCTTAGAGTGACAGCAAATAACAAAGAGCGCCGGCCGGTAAAACGAGCCGTGCGCCACTTTCCTCTGCACAGAGTAGGCCGTCCTCCGGTGCAAATGTTTCATCATTTTGTTCTCCTGTGCCGAGTAAATTGTATATATTGTTCAGATCCACGCGGGAAGAAGGGCACTCCTGTTACTGCTGGCTGGAATATCAATATATCACCAGCCGTACTCCACATGTGTAATTAAGTTTAGATAAATCACCATTAGAGCAGCGAGACTCAAACACAAACTGGAAAAAGGTTTTACTGTTGTTCTTCCTAGCTCCTTGATCGACTAATTGTTGAATTGGATAATTGTTTTGGCTCTAAAACAAACTGTCTTCACACAAGACAAGGTCAGAAATCAATGTTCCATCAGTTTCAAAATTTTGTTTTAATGATCAGAAAATCGAATGTCCTAGTTTGCCATCTCGATCACTTAACACTCAAACGAAAGACGTACACGTTTCTCCAACAGCACGGGGGAGAACTTTAGACGAGTCATCAGGATACTCAGAGGTTCCCCTCCCATCATCCTCCTTGATCAGACTAATTATCCTTCCGGTGGCTGTCTTTATCTCCCCTGTCACCTTTCAAACACTCAGTCATGTTGGAGAACCCAGTCTGCCGTTTTAAATTATTAGTTCCCTGCCAGGGGCGCTCGCTCTTATGCACAGAAGCAGAGGTAAAACGAAGGTGAGGAAGATGGAAAGGGACGGCTCCTGCTTTCCCATCGCTGGGGGGGGAGGAGGACGAGGAAGAGGGACAGGCGGCTGCGGCGTTGACGGCCTAATCTCTGGCTCTGATTATCTTCTCATTACAATCAGACAGGAGCCACTCGAAGAAGACGAGAATGTGTAATTATGCTCAAATCTCCCATGACTAAAACAGAGGATAATAAGCGGGGAATCGTCTGTTTAGTCATCTGCTCTGTTCATTCCACTATGAATGGAGATTTTTGGCAGGTTCAAGTGGAAGCGATAGAATAAGTAAACACCAGACTTTTATTTGCTTGATTTTGAAACCAGAAGTCGTTTGCCGTTTGTTTTAAAAGTGTAGAAAATACTAGAGACTGATTTATGGATTTGCAGATACAATTTGCCTCAAATACTGCACAAATATAAATATATTTACATTTTACATCTAAAGAAGTTTATTTTCTTAATTCAAGTTATATTTGGTTGTAACTGCGATTTTCCTTTTTATTTATAGTTGTTTATAAATAACGTTCATGGTAAAACTGTAACATATCAAACATCATTTACATTTTTCTGTAATAAGGGTTTGATGACGATATCTTAGGAATCATTGCTAAAAAAAATTATACATTAGCATTGAAACTTTTTGGCTAACTAAATTCGGTACCCTAAAATATCCACATCGGTTGGGCTCTAGAAAATACAGAATTTTTTTTAAATAAGAGCCTGCGTATGTGACCTCTAGTTCTGGTAGTCTCTGCCAATAACGTTATTTCGTTGACATTTGTTTGTCAGCAGGATTATTCAAAATGTGCTCTCTGTATCCAGATGCAGGCTGCATCTGCCTGACACAAGATAGAAAACACCATTTTCCAAAATGTCAGAGTAACTGAAGCATGTAAATAACAACATTTCAATTGACACCTTGATTTGAATGGTAAATTGCTGACCTCCAATTTCCCTGGAGAATGGCTGGCAGGGGGAAATGGAGGGGAATGAAACACACACCCAGTCGATCAGAGGGTTTCAGGCTAACCTAGCATGTTAAACCCACATTCGCCCTCTTACTAGTATATGATGGAAGCCATAACTGTGTGGACAACTAGAAAAATCACTTGGAAAAGTTGTCATAAAGGCTCAAACGCAAAAACTAAATCTTTTTTCTTCTGTTTTTCTTTCCTCACAGCTTCGAAACAACAGCCTGTCAGCCACTTAAGACCGATGAGAGGAAAGCAGCCGACACCAGGGTGGAGGCTGCCGGCAGAAATGGCTGCATCAAGGGAAAATCACGCAAACACCACAGCCATCGCAGGGCCAGGAGGTAAGTTCGTCTTTACGCTGTCACAAATGCTGAGCAGCGACGCTTGAAATCCATCAACACATTTTTCAGAACTCAAAGAACAAAGGTTTACAAGGAATGTCAAGAAATCAATACGCTTTAAAGTTGCAGCGCTGTAGATCAGAGCCAAATGTTCCTGATGTAGAATTGTTGAAGTTTTTGTTTGTTTTTGAAGGTGTTCCTCTAGATTACAGTGCTGACGATAGAGTCTTGTCACAGTTCGCCTGAAGACTCCTTCGGGGCCCCGCTCTCTGAGAGAAACCGAGCTAATCTCTATATTCTGGTGTGGCGAATGTAAACAGTCTTATCAGGCCGAGCCCGGTGGAGAAGCACAAAGATGTTGTGAGGAATTCTCCACCGTGTCGTTCAGATCCTCTCTTTCACCAACACCTTGAACCTGAAGTCTCTTTCACACACCGAGAATAGTTTTCAGTCGTTTCATTCCGAGGTGGGAAATGGAGGCAGGTTTTCTTTTCAAAACTTCTTAATTAACCTGACACCTTCGAAGCCGTTGCAGTTACACAGCAGCCAGCGATATGTAAAACACGACTGAAGCCGCATTTGAAGTGTGAGAGAGGATCATAAACTTGAATCGCTTCCTTTTGGATGAACTTTACTCTGCAGACTGCCTCTCTTTGTTTTTGAAGTTAACAGCGAGCACAGCTTCACATAATCATTTTTCATAATGATCTTTCTGGATCTTTCTCATCATTGTCACTAATTATGCCGTCTTTACTGTCTTATCGTCCCACTCTGCTTCTTTTGCTCAAAATGTATCTTTCATGAGAGTGGATTCATTTCATCTGTGACACTACAGTGATTCAAAACTGCTGAAAATTGCAGTTTTATCCAAGTGAAACTAATTTACTTAGTAACATCGGATTGTTAGATTTGTGTACTCGCTGATGCCTACTCTGGCATGTTCAGCTGTAGTGGAGGCATTTCTGATGCTGGAACATCTAGTGGACACTATTCAACACTGGCCGATAAGAGCTTTCTTGCTAAATTAAAGAAGCAGAAAAAAAATCTTGGATTCGCCCCTTTGTCCATTTCTTTTTTGGCCAACGTCCCTTCCTTTCACCAAGTTTCAAGGAAATCTGTTGAGTAGTTTTTGTGTAGTTCCACTGACAAACAAACAAATCAATGGGCAGGAACAGAAACAAAACCTTCTTGGTGGAGGTTAAAAGCAAGAAAAGAAAATGTCTCTATTTATTAGTTTCCATTTACTGTGGCGAAGGACATCGATTCATTTTCAAATCAAAATCTTTGTCTCAATCACAAAACACCGCAAGTCGCAGCCTGAGAGAAATCTTGTGTTTAGAAAGACGTTTGTTCTGTGGATTGTTATCTTGCTAATTGGCCAGCAGCAGCCCAATTTAGCAGAGCAACCGATGTTAATTATAACATGAAACAACACGACGCTGACACCGGCTCGCCTCCAGAAAAAGTATGTTAGCTGCAGCGAGCGACTTTTAGGAAGTACAAGTTAAATATTTAATTACAAGAAAACCCTGCCTGCACCCGACAAAAGACATCGCAAATCCATCTGATCACGAACAAGACAACAGCGACTACAAACACAAACCACAGCCCGACACCAACCTAGTGATGTTTTTTTTTATATGTTGACATATTCATGATGTAGTTACACAGATTCATTTATGCTATTCATGCATGATTGCGGCAGAGAAAAAAGCAACGTGCTCTTGAGGAAAATAGGCTGCGTTCAGCATCAAGCGTATTCTCATCAGATGTCCCCAAATCCTTTTTTCATACGCCATTGTTCCGCACAATCACCATTCCCAGTGTTGCTGGCAATTGACTGCTCTCTCATTCTCCCTTTCATTCTCTCCACCTCATCAAAAGAAACCGTTTCTGCTGGCAAGAAAAAAAATGCAAATGTGCGCCTTGCACTCTTTTTCTACAAGGCCAGAATGGTAGAGGTGTTAATGAGTGACAAAGCATTCTCATTACCAGGAGAGGGTACTCGGGCTTGGTCTGTCTAATCAGCTCTAATGCATTCCAGTTCCTAATGCTCCCAAACTGCCGACTGCGCCGAGCGGGGCCATTCATTACAACAGTCTTCTGCATCCAAAGAAACAGGCTCGCGGTCTCCAGAGCTCTGTGGTCGCATTTATCAAGGAGTGCAGTTTGTCACTGTCTGGATGAGTTCTGATCACACTCACCTGTGCTCGTGACCCGCTGCTTGTGTTATGTGGAGGAACATTTCCTACAGTTTGACAAAAAAAAGAAATGATTCCACCCCAGTGAGTGTGACAGTGCTGAAAGAAAAGTGTCATTCCTCTGCTGTTTGGAGGTAACACCTCTGCTGGTGTGTGCTGCCCCCAAAGCTCAGCTAACAGTAACTCCGTGCAATGAAAATATCGTCTGGATATCGACAGTGTTGTTCTGAAAATTAGTTTATCTTAAATGTCAAAGTTCCTGTTCACCTTTTATAAGGAGGCACTTTTAGTTTTACATGAGACGACTATATAAAATGGGAAATAATTTTTTGAGAAGAAACTTTGTCGAGAAACTACAGGCGTCGCTGTGATGTTACTTCACCCGGGTCACAGGAATAAACCGCCACCTTATCCTTTCAATAGTGGGTAGTAATGTTAACATCTTTGAAATCTCTTTTCTTTCTTAAAGGCAGCATAACTTAGTTTTAACCATGAAGCTGATTTACTCACTTTTGTCTTTAATATGAAAAAACATTTTTTAAAGCACATGTTGCGTCCTCTTTCATTGATGAGTGTTAAACCTCATGAGTATTTTCATCAGCTTCTTTTGTTGAGTCACTGTCTCCAGCTTGAAGTTCTCTGTCTGCATGTGAGTACATGAGCTTGTCAGTGTAATAACGAAGTGTCTAATGTCTCCTCGCCTCTGCGTTATTAACTACACCGCCATTAATGATGTGCGCACTCCGTCACTCCCACATAATATTCACTTCAATTCGGATTTAACCAACGCCACACAGCCTTTCAAATTTTCCCATTATTAAAGCCAAGGTGAGGCTGCTGAAGTGAATTACAATCAAAAGCATCTTCTCTCCGTCTCCTCTTTACTCTGTGTCACGTTACACGCTCGTTGCTGCTTCCTGCCTTTTCTTCTGATGAATTTCCGTCAGTCCGTACTTGAAAGGTCCGTTCATCCAGCCCGTGGCCTGTGGCGCTTCAAAGACCTTTTCGTCTCCTTTTCCGCATGAGCTATTTTCAAAGAGCAAATGAAGTGGACCTCTGGACGGCAATCAAGCTGTCAACAGACGGAGTCTGACAACTTTCTTTTCTCTGCAATGATGAATTCACGCTGTCAGAGGGGAATGGGTGGAAGGCAGGAATATCTCAGTCCAGTGTTCTTTGAGCGTCACCATGTTCAGTTTGAAATAAAGTCACAGAAACCCTGTGAGTCTGTCACCCACATATTCTCCTTATCAACTTACCTGCCCCTGTTGTTTCATCCGTTCACTCCCACCCCTGGTCCCACCTCTCGTTTCCTCTATTTCTTTATTCTGCTGGAGCTGTTTTCAAACAACTCTGGAAAATGTCCTGATAATTGGGTCTCAACATTTTCCTAAGTTTTCTTTCACGTATGAAGAACGCAGCAGGATGTTGTCCAGATCAGACACGTTCACAATAACAGGAAAATGTTTGTAACATTCAGGCGAGGGGTAGAGCAGCGGGAGGCAGGACAAGATGTTTAAACTCTGCTGCAGAAAACTCATTGTGAATTTTAGAAACATTTTCCTTCGATATTCTCAAAATTGTCTCACTCATTTTCTGGATATTTTACCAGGGGCTGGAAAAATGTTCGAAGCAACTCAGTCGGATATTTTCATGCTCACACACAGCCCCTGCGGAAAAGTTTAAGAAAAATGTTCTGACTTCAGTGCAGCTCTGGTGTGTTCATCATTTTTCATCAATCTCCTTGACATGTCAATGTCTCAGCTACTAACATGCGGGAGGTTCATGACCTATACTGCAGCTAGCTTTCCAGGGGGCGATCAAGATAATTTGGCTTCACTTTTGGGAGTTTTAATCTTGTCCATTTATCTATACAATCCATGTTTCAGCGAGCTGTACCTAATAAACTGGCTACATGGGTATATCGCCAAAAGAATACTCCATCAGTTTCATTTTTCACATCAAGCAGTCATGACGAGAACTACTGAGTCTACAAAGTCTTTGGCTCAGGAGGAGCTTTGTCAAGTCCAATAAAATTCCTTAAGTGACATTACTTGATTAATCTTGGCTTGATCTTGCGGATGCCAGGTTTTTTAACAGAGTGCCTGCATCAGAAAGGGTGAAGTTTGAATGACGCAGGTGTTTCCCAGCAGGTCAGCAGGTTCCAACAGAAGATGCTCGTTGATGAATTCCATCATCAGCAGTGATTGAGTTTATTTGCATAATTAATAGTCTAAATTGCTGGAGTGTTCTTTTAAGATTAAAAACTCTGACCCTCAGCACTTTCTTTAGCAAAATACATACTACTGAGTATGGATGTAGCCCTGGTGCTCACAGACACTGCCGCTGAGGCTAACATGACTGCAGTGAAGTTAGCTCAGGATGCACCCGGCTGTGGATGAGACGTAACGCACCCCCTCTCTCCCGGAGCAAAGCCACTTTGACTTCAGCGCAGCTCACTGGCATGCGATCTGTTCTGTGCTTTGTACCAGTCTGGATGGGATTTCTATCATTCTGTTGTGAGGGGATCATCTCATGTGGGACGTTCGGCTCGCAGATAATCTCGCTTACGATTGTTGTTGTGAGAGGGAATCAGGAGGCATTTATGTGCCGTCGTGCAAAGCCAACGATGAGTCATGTGGATTATTTTACTCTACCCATTCTGCTCGGGTTTGTTTGTGAAGAATTTAGGAAAAAAATGTTTGATGAAACTTCACCAGATCAGACTGTGTAGAGTTTTGTACTTGCCAGGAAATGCACAAAGAAAAGTGCCAAAAAGATTTGGATATTTGGGGCTGATATCAATATTATCGGCTGATATATTGGCTCTTAAATCCGTTGGCAATGATTTCTAGGATGTTATAAAACCCCTTTGACAAAGAAATGTAACTCAGGGTTAATATTTTACTGTTTAACCATAAACTTAATTAGAAAAAACACAAATACAACAAAATATAAATAATTTAAATTAAGAAAACAAACATAATGTTTTATTTAAAATTTAAATTTATATAACATTTTCATTATTGTTGTAAAATAAATTAATAACAGTAATAATGACAAACTACTTAACATTTCCAACATCCAAAGGATTTTTCTACATTATTTATAACATGAAATAAAAGTTTTCATGTGGGCAATCATAAAAGCTGACGCCAGTGTGATGTCTAACATTGGCAGATTTTAATCCAATAAACCGGTCGGGCTCTTGCTATCATCAATATTTATGAAATAAGATTTCTCTTTTCAGTTCAGCCTTTCTGTTCATTGCTTCTCTGTCTCGACAAAGGTTTTCTGATGAACTGTTTATAAATCAAATTCCAAAAGTCCATACAGTATATCTGCACTCACATCGGCTCCTCACTCGGCTGAATCCTTTCAGCTGAGATTTCACATCATCTCATGTCCCCTCATGTCCTTTAATTAAAGTGTCCCGTGTGCTCTGTCTCCGCTCGCAGCTCCTCCTTCGACGAGGAGCTCTCCCCTCGGCCCAAGGCCAAGAAGAAGAAGAGAAAGTCAGAGCGCAAGAGGAAGAGGAAAAGGTCAGTTCCCGAAATAAGATGACTCTGCAGTGAGGTGTATTGCCGGATGTCTGTTGTTATGCGTCCTGACATAAATAAACTGAGAGGTGTGGAGGAGGAATACTCTGCGCTCTCCGGAGTTCATTTTTTATTCGTTTTCCTGCTTCAGGTCTCCTTCTTACAGCCTGTCGCCACTGAGGAAGAAGAAAAAGAAGAAGAAGAAGAGCTCCAAGAAAAGCAAGAGGCACAGGTACCTCTTGTTTACTGTGACACCATTCAATAAAATGGCAAAACATTTATATTTAGGTGACCCAAATCATGTTTTTCACTTTTCAGATACACCTCCAAGAAATCCAAACACAGGTACGTATCATTATTGGAAGATTTCATGCACATATTGTTGCTGCGGCTCTTTTAGCTTCCAGCTAGATATGTGTTTCAGGCTTCGTCAGTCTTAATGCTCATGACTCTGTTCTCTTTCATCTCACCAGCTCTTCAAGTTTAAAACATAAGAGGAGGGATAAACGCAAGCACAAGAAAAGGTCAGTCTGCGGCTGCTGCTGCATCCAAATCGTGTCGTCTCCAAAACCCTTCACAACTTCCACGTCCTCCCCCAGTGATCTGCCCCTTTTTAAGAACACCCATTTCTGAGGAGGCTCATCCAAACTGTTCTCTGATGGTTGCATTCAGAAACATGCAGCTTTTATTCAAATACTTTTTTGAGCTAAGTGTAAAAAAAAAAAAACCCATGCAAAGAGTGAAACTGATCGAAGCTTTAAGCCACAAAAATAGAGAAAAAAAGGGGTGAGAGGGTAAAAGAATCCAATTTCCTGCTGTGATCTTGCAGCATTATATAATTCGCAGCACTGTTGTTTGTTCAGTTGCTGCTTACTTCAACACAAACCGCTGCTTTTCAGCTCACTACAACGTTCTCCTCCCTCTGCTGCTTCTTTTTTCTATTCTCCCCCTTCTCCGACGAGCTCTCGTGTTCTTTTAAACATGAATTCTACCATCTCTGATTTAGCTTTAGTCATCTTGGACCCTTCAGAAAAATCTAAACATGTACACACGGTGTCAGTAGCAAAAAGCAGTGGACGTAACGTTTTCTCAGAGTTGCTATTTCTGTATATTCCCATAAAACATGTTGACACAACCCATCCACAGGAAAATATCACTGTTCAACATTATTCATCGCAGGGACAATGGAAAAACAACATGTAACACACTTTCTCTTTAAATAACACGATTGATTGACAGATCATGCAAATTATTGACGCACTCATCTAAGTCCTCGTAGCTCTTTAATCCACTTGTGCCTTTTCCCCTCTGCTCTCCTCATCACCTCCCTCAGCTCCCGGACTCACTCGCGGCGGAGGCGACGTTATCGGAGGTCAGAGTCGTACAGTTCTTCCTGCCACTCTTCCGCAGAGTACAGGTAAGAGACCCCCCCCAACCCACCACCGCCTGGGTTTATCTTATCGGTCCCGCCGTGGTGTCTGCAGAGTTCCTGGTCACACCACAGCGATGACTGATAAGGCAGAGGTGACTTTCTGATCTCAGGCACGACCAGAGCTTATCAGCGCTTCACAGGAAACAGCCTCAAAATCACTCTACAGATTGATGCACTCAATTATAGAGATATGGTGAAAAATTTAGACGTGTGATAATGTAAAAGACTTATTTTTCTATTATACTGAACAGGGGTGACAGTGCGATGATCTCCAGTATTGAGCAGAAAATCCGGATGCTTCCAGTCCGATCAGGAGAGCACGGACTCAGTTATTGAACTTTGACACATGAGAGCAGTTTGAATTTACTTCAGTGAAAAACTCAAACCTAGCTGTAATATTAAAAATGAAATAATCCAGATAAATAACCTGAACTAACCATTTTGATGAAAATCACAATTAAAATCAAGAAATTAGGAATTAGTGACAAGTGACCACTATAGAAGAAAATGTTGTTGATGTAGATTCAGATGTTTCCTGGACATTCAAATTTCAATAAGTGCTTCTACTCGTCAGGAAAACTAAATGTAAACGTTTTCCCACAGACACCATCTGCAGAAATCTGTGGTGCATCAGGCTTTAGGAGACCTGGCAGCTGTCAGAGAGGAAACTGACGGTGTGCTCCACCACACGGACATGAAGTGGAGACCAGCAACCAAATCAGTGTGTAAAACGGCTCCAAAATATCGCTCCATCCTCTCAACCAGCACAGTAAGTAACTTTCAGGACTCTGACGACGCTGCTGTTTGATTTCTGTCACGGCCGAGAAAAATAACTTGATGTCAGTCGAAATAAAATCCCTGCAGAGACGTAGTCGGGTCTGGAAAGTCAATCTTTAAAAAGGAAAATCTTGCCTTAAATATTAACTCAAAATATTTTTAAGTTAAAGATGCTGCTCATGACCTGACTCTGATGAATTAAAACAGTATCCAGTGCTTTGCAAAGTCAGAACGACACCATGGAGGAACGACACATTCTCTCAACGACAGCAGAGTGAACTTTATTTTACCTCCTGAAATAAAGCGTCAAATCCAAGTAGAAAATTAACAGCAACAGTGATTATTTTAGTTTGAAGAGCTGCTTTTTTATTACTGCAAAGTTATTGAGACTCTGTTAAGTTCCAGTGCATCACAGCGATGGTCAGTATTTAGAAAAAGAATGATGTGTTTGATTCCCGCAGGACGTAACAGAGCGTGAAGTTCAGTTTAAGACCGTTCAGTGGATTTTACGCAGGTGAAAAACTGTGCTGCTGCACAGGAAGTGATGTTTTTGTTTTTAATTAAGACAAATGCACCTTTTTGTCAGCAGACACTTGCTTGTTGTTGGAGATTAAAGTTCCTCAGAGTGCTAATGTGTCGTTGTTGTTAACAGTCAGATGTGGAATATAAAGCATTCGTTTTTCAATGAACTCGCCTCATGTTTAAAGAAGAGCCCCAACAATTAATCATTCCATAAAAATGATATGAGCCTTTCACAGACGTAACGTTATCACTATTCACGTGGGCTCTTTAGGAATCATTCATTATCTCTGTATGAAGTATATTTCATCTGATAGATTGGTTTCGGGATCGAGCGCTAGTTTAAAGAGGCTAATAAGACTCCTGCTGTGCACAAGGATCATCATTCTATCGTATTCTGTTTATGATACTTAGAAAAAATATTATATCTCCTTTTCTATTGGGCCGCTCTCCGTCCCCTCAGGTCACTGCATCTGTTGTATGTTTCCAGTCGACAGTTTCAATATTTCAGATTTCAGACCTGGTTTGAATCTGAAACTAAATCGTGATTGACGACGTCCAGACGACAGACTATGAATTTTAATAATCGTGCTGTTTATTGCAGGTTGATTTTCCCTATTTATTAGTTTTTTTACTGAAGCGATGTTCTTCTAAAGAGCCTCATAAATACGGCTACGGCCTTAAACTCATTGTCTCAAGCTTATTGGAGCATAAAAAGTATTTAATTTCTCTCCAGCAATCATTAAATTATGCTAATTGCACAGACAGATGTTTTTAATTACACACCACAGGGTTTTAATTGAAATTCAATAAATTAATCCATATTTTGAATCATGCTTGGCATTCAGCACCCCAAAGACTTTCAGGAGGACCGTCACTAACAGTCGCTTAGCGAAGGGGTCAGCTTTTACTGTATCGCTCGCCGGTGTGAATATGCATTTATTTAAAGCACATAATTACAAAAAGTAATGCAGGAGGAACTTTTCTTATGATCCTAACATTTCTTTCCCCACAACAAAGCAAACCATAAAGACACAGGTAGGTATGACGGAACAGAAAAAAACCCGACAAAACATGATTTTTAAATATTCTAACTTTTGTGTTAATGTACGTGGTGAATTTATTTTGTGGTTGCAACAAAAGGAAAAGAAAGAATCGTTTGCAAAAAAAAAAAACAAACTGGAGGTGACATTGAAGTATTGTCTGTGTTCAAAAATATATCTTTTCCGTGAGTGAAATCTTTTACTCCTGAGCACACGCAGATTGTGGGTAGATGCGACCGCTAAAAGACGACGGTAGAAGCACAAAGATTTGTTTTAATTTCCCTCAGAGCGTCTCTGTTGTGTCGACTGAAGTCCAGATAATGGAAAATCTTGGAGAGGACAGACTGGATTAACCCCCGAACGTCTCGAGTAAAGAGAGAGATCGTAATTCTGTAAGATTAGTCGGATATGATTCTCGGAGATTTTACTGTCTTTCTTCCATCCGTGGACGTTTGCGGTTACAAACAGAAATCTGTCTCGCTCCCAAAAAACTCCCAGAACAATTCACCTTTAAGGAAAGAAAAAGGAAAATGCCGATAAACGTCTAAGTGGCTCTGGGTTTGAAGAGAGGGTTATTGTCTTTTTCTTGTTATTTACAACTCTAATGATGCACTTATGTTGCCCGCTCTTCCCTTTTTCTTACACCTTACCTACTTAAGGAGGAAATCTTGATTGGTAAGTGGATGCTATCCGCAGATTTAGGGATTTACTTGTAGGTCGGTGCAGGCTAATTATTTACTTTTCACAGGAGAAAGATCATCTGTCCTGTTCTGAGGGCTTTCTTAGTTAGACTGATGGGATCTCTCTTTGTCTGCAATCCCTTTCATTTCTACATAAAACCCATTTTTGTGATGTTTGTTCAATGTTCTATAAATGAGGCTTTTCAACGGGGCTATTGTTTTACTTTCCTTCTTACTTTTCCTCTTCACTCGAGTTAGAGCCGATCAGTAGATTTATCCTCACGTAGTTTTTCTTTTTTTCTTCTCTGCTCTTTCTGTTGTTCCTTTCGTATACTTATTTTAGTTCAGATTTAACTTTTTCCTGGATTTGTTTCTTGTTGAGTTTTTCTTCTTTTGACTTCCAGCTTTCTTTTGAGGTTAATCGCATGCTTCAAATTTGCATGATGTCTTTATCTTTCAAAGTTTTTCTGTCCAGCGAGAAAAAAAAGAAAGAAATCTGTGTTTTCGAGGGAATATGTGCCTTTGTGCTAGAGTATTCACAGTGCATCAAAGCAGGTAGCAGGTTGCTTCTATCTCTACACGCTCAGTTTTAAGCTGCAGCCTCTTTGTCTGTTTGCAGATTTTGTCGTCAAAACCTGGAAGCGAGCTCTTACAGGGAAAAGGGTCTCGGCATTTATCGAGCCAGGTCGAAGGTCCGCACGACTACGACTCTGGGAATGACACGTCCTCGCCGCCGTCGAGCAAAACCGACGTCTCACGGTCGAGTGTCACGGACAACAAGAGGAGCCACTGTCAGCGTCTGGTCTCTCCGGAGAAGCTGAAGTTCACAGACAGAGACAATGCCTCAGATTCAGGAAACTCTGTGACCAGCTACACGTCCCTATGCAAACCTTACAGGGAGGACAGCTTGTCTGCAACCATTTTCAGTGGAAACGGCAAGAGGTAATGTTCTGTTCGTAATAAATAACTCATCTGAATGAATGGTTCCGAGGAAAATTGCAGGCTGTTTATCTTGTGTTTCCACGCTCTGGTTCCTCTTTTGAAATATTCATCCTGTGAGCAAGAGAATAAAGGAGAGCGTTTCTTAAAACCAACCCAAGATTAGTTTGGGGCGTTATCAGTCGAGTCAGTGAGGCGTCTTAATGTGTTGTTTGTTTTGTAGGCAGCAGATAACCTTGGGGTGTCAGGTGGAGGTTGTGACACATCAGAAGAATTCCAGCTGTTCGCGGAGGATGAGCGTGTCGTCTCGAAAGCGGCGGAAAACACGTACATCCAGCAGCAGGAGCAGGTCGACGGGGAGTTCCAGATACTCCGGACGCTACTCTCGAAGTCCGTCACTTTCATCCTGCAGGTGGGTTAACCACTTTCTTACACTCTCTCAAAACCTCTGGGTTGTCCAGAACATTCCCACTGTCACATACACCAGTGTGATAAGAACTGACTTAATGTGCAGAAACCGTCTTTGAGACAAATTTGTTTGACATGTATTGTGACTTTTTTAAATTGGTCCATGTCCACTAACATGGAGGAGGGGGGGTTTTTGACTTATACTGCAGACAGCCACCAGGGGGCGATTGAGACACTTTTGGCTTCACTTTCTTATCCTCCATCGTTATTTCCAGTCTATGCTCTGCACACATGCTCCGCCCCTTCCTGTCGACGGCCTCTGTTGCTTCTCAAGTCTCGACTGGGGAATTTGCAGCTTTGCTCATTTCCATGCGTTTATTGTCGCGTCTCTTGTTTCCAGCTCGTACTCGCGGTCTCCGAGTTACTCTGACCTGAGGAGACGAGGCAGCGTGGCCAGTCTGAGCTCCAGAGGAAGCTACTCCAGAAGGTGAACTTCACCTCATGATGCAGCCGCTAACGTGTCCTCCTAAGCGGCGAAGCAGAAAATTTATATATTTATCCTCTGGTGATTAAATTTTCACACTGTGTTGTCTGATTCCTAGACTGCGAGACAGAAAGAAAGCACCTAGCTACAGAGAGACAGATGTGAAGACAGCACGGAAGGTGAATGGGAAGAGACGAAGACGCAAATCCTACTCTCCGATGAAGAAAAGAAGGAGAGACTCACCAAGCCATCTGGAAGCACGTCGAATCACAAGGTACAGCTTTCCCAGCCCGGTTATTTATAGCTGCAATATATATTTTAAGGCCTAAAGGCAGAAAAAGATGCATCGCTGGTCGCACCCACCACCCCCACATTTGGACAGGTCCCCAGCCTGAAATCTCTCCCTCGTATTCATGAGTGGTGAGTTATGAAATGGCGTTTAGCCCGAGGATGAGATAACCATCAGCTTTAAAGAGAAAAACACACGGAATGTGAAACGGAAAAAATGACAAGAACAGATGAATTCTTCTGCAGCTTCATGCAGAAAGATTACAACAGATTTTATGTGGGTATTTGTCTTTGGAGTTGATGAAGACAGACTATTGGACTTTAACTCACCAGGTGTCCACTGACATTAATGTGTCTCTGCTGGAGGTGAACAGAGACACTTGTCTGGTAACTCTTTTATTGTTGTTACGATTTGTGAGCGGATGACCTTGAAAATCTTTTGGCTTTTAAATCTTCTTCAGAGAATTTGTTGAAGATGTTTTTGTCATAGCTCCACCAAGCCGTGGCAGTGCACTGCAGCAAATCACTCAAACTCACAGACGGATAGATTTTCTTGAAGAATTATTCCCTGAGAAAACGGTGAAATCCCAAAAACCTTTAGGATCTTTTATTCTGTGACAGTTGGTCAGTTTCACCTCTTACTCTTGCTGACCTTTTCTCCGCAGTGCCAGGAAACGACCCATCCCGTACTTCCGCCCCAGCCCCTCCTCCAGCAGCCGGTCCACCAGCGTGTCGTCCTGGAGCAGCCTCTTCACCCGCAGCCGCAGCCGCAGCCCGATCCACAGCGTCAGCCGGAGCAGGAGCCGGAGTCGGAGCTGTAGTTACTCCTCCTACAGGAGCTACAGTCGCAGTTCATCCTTTAACTCAGTCTTTGGGACCCGCAGTCGCAGCCGGAGTTGCGGTTCGTTGAAAAAACGCAACAGGACCAGGCGTTAGGAATCCCAGAGAACGTGAAGGCACCGAAGCGCTCGTCGGGTTTCCACTTGAGGCCGAGGACAGTGGATGTTGGAGCGATCAGCTGTGTGCGTCTCCGTGCTCTGCAGCAGGAGTCCGACCACGGCGTTCATTGAGGCAGTCTTGCTCACGCTGCCCAAAGAGGCGGCTGGACAACGAATGTGTTTTTATTTGTTTCGTTCTCGTACTGCGTCGTCTCACATTAGAACGACGACCTGCGACTGTTCATCTCTCACATATTTACAGTAGAATCTGCACATAATCCAACTCCATGTTCTCCCTTTAATTTAATTATTCTTTGAAATTAATTCCTTATATTTATTTTAAAATTGATGGATCTTTAAAATGGTACATAAAAGGCTTCAATCCCATAAGCACCAGTTAAATTCTGGACGAATGAGACTTTTGACAGGACATGAGACATTCACTGTCCCAGATCGACCGTTGACAAGCGGCTTCAGAGGAATCGTTATCAGGAATAAGGAAAAAGGTTTATTGCTCTGATCTCTGCACTTCACACGTTGGAGAACAGACGAGTTTCCTCTGAAGGCGGCCTGACGGCGAGCGCGCTGCCTGTCAGCTCAAATGTGAAATTAATTTATCCTCCGATCAAATGTGAAACAACTGTAGAGTCAGAAATAAAACGGGGAGCGATTAAAACATGGTGCAGAGACGAGGAGGAGGTTTTATTAGACAAATCTTTAATTTGCAACAGAGGAGATTTTTTCCTTGTGGCAAATAAAATGTGATGAATTTATTTTGGGGAAAACATCAAAAACCTTTTTTTTAAATTCCCTGTTTGTTATCGAGTTGGGAAGTTGTGTTTGTGCTACAACGCTGGAAACAAACATACAAACTGTGTTTTTGTTATTTGAGTTGTTTCAAAAATGGAAAGTCAAGTTCAATATTTCAATATTTATGACTTATTTATTATTTATTGGTTTGTTGTCTCTCTCAGTAGTTGTCAATCTTTCTATGCAACGCTGTCAGTTTATAGTTTTTATGACACTGCTGTAATTTATTTTTTGGGTTCGTTGTAAATGATTCCCTTCGGCACCGAGCGTGCAGGTAAAGTTCCCAGTGAGCAAATGTTCAAAAGAAAGAGGAGGAAAACTGTAAAAAAACAAAAAAACAACTAAAGTTTGACATCTTTGGAAATATTTTTATTTGCTTTCTTGCCGAGATTTAAACGAGTAGATTCAAACCATAGCTGTTAGCTTAGCTTAGCATTAAGTTTGGAAACGGGGAGGTAACAGACTTTGTTGACATAAACCTGTAAAACCACAATTTGCTGTTTCATCAGTTTTGGTGCTGATGAAGCGTTTGAGACGGGAGGGGACATAAGCACATGATCAAAAGTGAAAATCACATTCAGGGCGTCTCCAAATCTACTTTTTGCTTCTGGCCAAAAGTTTGGTCACTGCGTCAGAAGCGAGGTTCAAAAGTGTTGTGTACTTAATTAATCCTTCTATCCTTCCATCTTTTAATGAATCAGTTGGTGTGTTTTGGGCGTAACATCTAACCAATCAATCGTCCGCTCTCTTAAAGATTTGGCAGGCAGCAAGAGAAACAACGTGAACTGTCCGAAACTATCAAAGCCGCATTGGTTCAAAGGGCCGGAGGTGATTGTGTATTCTGAGAGAAGGCCCACGGAGACCTGTATTTGCCAAGTGACATCAATTTACACCGATTTAGTGCAATTCTGTTGTGTCACTTCTTCACGTTAGACGGAGCTTCATTATGTTCGTTAGTCAGCTTTTGATTGGCTGCTCGGTGGATCTGTTGCCTTCACATTTCCACACAAACAATCTCATCTAATTTTCTCCATGAAAGCAAATAAACTAGAATATTTCCCTGAATGTCAAACGTGTTCTTTAAAGTTAATTGTTGTGGCCGCTTTGACTCCAGGGTTTGAATCTGCAAAAAGTTAGAAACTGCCTTTCTGTATAATAAAGAGAGTTAATATGTCTCAATCACTTGGAATCCATCCTCACGGTCGTGTGTGTGTTGTGCTCCAGGCCCGACCGACTGCTCCCTATGCACCTCAATCCTCTCGGCTTATTTCCCTGAATGTCAACTAAAGTGGATGAATGAGGGAGGTACGACGCTGGAAGAGGATCTCGGCACAAAACTCTAAACTCACGACGACTCGTGTCACGGAGCGATGGCGAGGTGCCAGCGGATGATTTGTGCAGTCGTGTTCATGACTCGGGCACCGACGCCCCTCTACCGCCACACAATGTACAGTTTACATCACGTGTTGTGCATAAGGATTTTAAATATTACTATGATGTAAATATGCGTCTGCACTGTATAAGTTATACGAAAGCTGTGATGATTTGATTTGCAGAATGTGATTCAGGGCGTCGCCGGGTGTTTAAATGTCGACGCGTTGACCCGTGGTGTCGGGAAACGAGACAGACGCCAGTTGGGCGTCGATCCGCTGACTGTAGATGTGTTTGTGTATAAGATCCCTCTGATCACGTCTTCTGTTATTTTAAAACGTACAATAACAACAGTCATACAGCAATAGTGATCCAGTGTTTCGGTGTTTAACGACGCACCCTCTCCACTTATTTCCATACGAGGGCGCGTAAAGCAGAGGCAAATGTTTTTTTCATGCTGTCACATGTTTTCTGATGTCAGTGTGAACTTCACGTCGTAATAATGTGTCGCCTGGAAATTGAATTGTCCCCCATGATGCCCCTCCACGTGCGTGTTCAGATTAAGCTCAATAAACTCATGTTCTGAATAAAATGACAACTCGTTCTTGTGTTATGTTCTGGAAGCTGATGGAAACCAGGGGCGGATCCAGGGGGGGGGGGGCACTAGCCCCAGCTGAAATCTGATTGGCTCCTGAAGTGCCCACATCCTGTCAGTGGAGTTTTTTTTTATTGTGCAGAGTGAAGTTGGAAAACATTGTGATCATCCCGCCTGGTTTATCTACAGGAGGTGTCCAATCAAACACATTTAACTCTTCATACATGTGGTTTAAATAGAAGACCCCCCCCCCCCCGGGATCCGCCCCTGATGAAGACGCTCTTGTTTACTTGTTTACCTCAGCAAACAGAGGCCACGCCCACAAACCTGAGCAGTTGTTCTGTTTTATTCGCTCTGTGACATCAGCGAAGCTCTGCGTTATTTTCTATTAAAGACAAAGTGAGTCACTGAGCTCCAACTGTGCACGAGGCTCGTGCGCACGGGGACTTTATTTGGTCTCAGGGAGGCTGGGCTTTGCTTCTACACTGCAAAACTAAAATCAACAGGTCCTCTCGTCCTAATTCAACTGTTTTAATTTATGTTTTTACGCAAATTCACACGAGGAGAGTTGTTATCAAATGGAATGAGTGGATTTTTTCGATCCTATTTTTTGATTCTGTAAAGTTTTTTGAAACTTTATTTTTACTTCTCTGGTGGATGGGTTTTGCAGTGTGCGCTCCAGACCCTCCCAGCTCTTTCCCGACCCGGCACCGACTCACCCTGTGGGAAACAGGGCCCAGTATAAAACCCTCCTCCAGCAGGAAACACACCAGTTCAAGTGAGAGGCTCGGAAAGTTCGTGTTCACTGTGGAGTTTGTTGTTGGATCGACAGGAGACCGGTGCGTAATGGTGATGCGCCTCATCCAAAAGAGATAAACAAAGGCGCAGGGAGTTTTTGATTTAACAGAAAAAGGGAAAAGTTTGAGTTGAAGGTTTGTTTTTGTTTAAAAAGAAAGAGACAAACTTGTTCCTCTTGGTGTTGAACTCATGGCAGAGGGAGACTTCTACACGATGGGGAGCCGGCAGAGGTTTCCTCGGGATCCATTTGGAGAGTCTCCGTTCCGGGATCAGTCTCCGTTCAGGGAGCAGCTCGCCTCCCGGTTCATGGAGGATGACTTCGGGATCCCTCCGTTCCCCGACGACCTGGCGATGGACTGGCCGGGCTGGGCTCGACCGGGCCGGCTCAGCACCCGCCTGAGCTCGTCGCCCTTCAGCTCCACGTTACGCTCCGGTTTCCCCGCGCGTCATTCCACCGGAGGCCCCGCGGTCTACACGAGCCGGTACGGAGAGGCCTCCCCCCGGAGCTCACCCACCTCCCCGGCCGCGGCAGGAGCCGGCAGCGCCGGGGGGGAGCCGTGGAAAGTGTGCGTGAACGTGCACAGCTTCAAACCAGAGGAACTAAACGTGAAAACGAGAGACGGGTTTGTTGAAGTGTCAGGTGAGTTCAGAGCTGGAGTTCATCTCGTGACTTTGTTCTTCAGGAAACTTCAGAGATTCAAGTCAAACTGAGAAACACTTTATTTAAAGAGCTCGTTGAAAAACACCTGCAGCTCAAAGTCCCTTTAGAAGTGTTGTTACACTGAAACACTGAGGTCACAGCTTCAGAGTTTAGAAGAACTCTGCTGTTTACTTTATATATTATATAGTTTATAGAAAGTGAATCAATAGAAAATGCACAATGGTTTGTTTTCATTAGTTGTGTTCTTCTTTTCTTCTTTAGACTCAATATCTTTAAACCTTTTAGGCCAAAACAGATTAATTAATTCAAGTTCTATAAACTCGGCTGTATTTTATGTTTTCTTTTTATTTATTTGCTGTGAAGTTTATGGTTAAACTGTTAAATTTCATTGTCATAAGAATTTGACAGCGACATCTTAGGATTCAAGTTTAATTTTTACAAACACACGATCTTCTTTCTTTGTCTTAAGAAAAGTAGCCTCTCTTCCACTTTGGAAGCCGGCGTGAGTCCGTACGATGAAATTCTCCGTGGTGTCACGTGGTCTCGGTAATAACGCGTCTCGATGTGGACGAGCTGGACAGATTTCCGGGACTGGGGCCGGTTGGCAGGCAGATCCTCAAGCTTAGACACCTGTTTCAAATTCCTGGAGAATCATTCCCTCAGACGTCCATGAGCTCGATTTAGATTTAAGGCCAGGCCCGTGACAACAGGCTCTGTTTACAATAAGAGGAGTCGCCCGCCGGTCATTAAACACCAAGGAGAATGTTCTGGAAATAGGACGTCACCCAGCGACCCGTGTGCAGCCAGCACCCTTCTCCACCGGTGTCACGTCCGAACTCGGCCTCTTTTCATGTGAGCAGGTTGTAGGAACTGCTTCCTCACAGCTCCACATTCCTCAGTGCTTTGGACGCTGAAGTGCAGGGATCCCCGGGGCTGTGGAGGGCACAGAGGACGCAGGGTTTTTTATAAACACATTGTTGGTATGCCAGTTGTGTGATTCAGTCAGCGCCATGTTGAGCCGGCCTGCCACGGTGACTCGACCCTTGTTTCTAAAAGTGGGACAGGGAGCGTGACACCAGCCTGTTTGAGCCGTTCAGCACAGGAACCCACAGAGAAGCATTCGGTCGTGTCTGACGGAGAGATGGTTAAATCTACAGCGACCATCACTGTGTCACCGGATCAACCCTGAAAATGATAAACGATTAAACACGACAATAGACTCTGAGGTTTAAACATCTGAACACGACGTGTTCGAGCTGAAGTTTCTCTTTAAGGCCCCGAATCATTTCAGATGACGTCGTGCATATCACCAAGCACCTTCTCACGCCTCCACTACTGCAGATATTCTTTTTAGAACGTAAACGTTCTCCTCTGTCTACACGGCTTTCGTTTTACAGAACATCTCCGTCCAGAGGAGACAAAACACAAAAACAGGCTCAAACAAGCGTCGCGGGCCAGTGCTAGCGTTGGGTATCGTCCTGGTGTCACAATCCCCTCTCGTGAAAATACAGCCTCACTTCGACCGTGCGGTTTCAGACGTATTGTTGTTGCGTTAGGTTGCTGCTAGCTAACTGTAGGTTGACGTTATGTGCTGCCAGAGCCACGTAGCGGGTTTGTTGCCACCGGAGTGAAGGGTAATGTTAGCTTAGGCCGGTGTGTTGATGTTGATGTTGCGGGGGGAAGGGTGAACAACGTGAGGTGTTTCTGATTGTTGATTGTTTACAGTGTATGAAGTTTTCGTCATCGAGACTTGAGACTGTTCTCACAAGAAAAACAAAACTACTTTGTTCAACACGAAACATTTACTTCCTCACGTCACAGTCAGAAATATCAGAAAAGCTTCACGCTCATCTGAAAACTTCAGGTCCGTCCTTGATTCTCGAACGGACAGAACGGCTCATCCATCACGGTGAGTCCCCCCCCCCCCCCCCCCCCTCTGCTTCCAGAAGTCACAGTATTACGCAGAGCATCTGGAATTTGGCATCTATGGCGTAAGAGATCTGAAAAGAAGGAGCAGCAGCGCCTGCTCTCCAACCGACGACCGTTATTCACCAAACAACTAAACGAGCAGATCTACATCTGGAGTCGTGATCGGGTTTTCATATTATTGTCATGACTTCACCGGTGATCTTAGCTCCGTCCTCCCTGGAGCTCTGGTGGAGTCCACCGGGGGGGTATAAGGTAGCGCATAGTCCAACACGGGGTCGGAGGGGTGGGGCGGGCCACGCTGCCGGCAGTGGAGTTGACATTTAGCAGCTCCGGAGCAGCTGCGAGCGAGTCCGAGAGATGGAACAGCCATAAACAGAGACGGAGGAGGGGAGGGGGGGGGGGTGTCCAGGGAGAGCTGCTTCAGATCAGAGTGTTTCTGCAGAAGAAACTCTGACGGGAATAATGTCTAATCATTTCAACATGTTCAGAGCAACACGCCCGTCACGTCTCTGAATCACGGCTGTGATTGAGCAACAGGGAGAAGATGAAGTCTGTTTTTTTGATCTCAGTTACGTCTTTGTTCACGGACGTCCTCGACGGAGCCGTTTGAAAAGATTCAACGTAGAGTCGACGATTTTCAAATATTTTAAACACTGATTTTTGCTCCAGAGGGAAAGTTTTGAACTTTTCTTCATGAACACTTAATAAACCGATTCGATAAATTTCAGCTTGGTGATCATATAAAAGACGTCCTCACTGACCTAATGCACGAGAAAGAAAATGATTCACCGACTTGAAGTTTTGTTAATAACTGATAACTTCAATCTGTTGAATTTGAATCCACTTGTGTGTCACCCATTGACGTCATTCTTAAAGTTGGTAAACAGTTTTTTTTCAGTGGATACTGAACCTTTGTCACGTTGCTACTGATGAAAATGATATTGTGATAATTAATGATAAAGTTTTATTACTCGGCCTCAATTCGAGGAGTCATAGTTGTAGATATGCAGTAAATGATCCATATAAAGATACTTCTATATATATATAAGTATATGTTAAACTTCAACAATCTCTGAAGTCCTCTGAAGTTCCTCGCTCACTTATTAACACATGGTTTTTGTTTCCAAACAGGGAAACACGAGGAGAAGCAGGAAGAAGGAGGAATAGTGACAAAGAATTTCACAAAGAAGATACAGTGAGTATCATCTGAGGTCACTGAGAACAGTGTTTTCTTCTGAAAGGGCTTTCATCTTCTCCAAGACCACGTTCCAGGTCGAACAATAAGATGTTCTGATTGTCCATCGACCCTAAATAATAAGAAATATAACTTCATTATAAACATATTTATCTCTTAATAAGAATGTGGACGTCAATAGTGCGTCTCTTACTTTATAATTTGGATTCTTCTGAGTCGCATCAGCTCTGATTGGACGAAACGAACCGTCCAATCAAAACCTGCTCGGCTACAAACTTTTACCAGCGGAGACGTTGTAACTTTCTAACTCCAGAATCCTGGAGGAGTCTCTGCACGGATAAGTTCTGTGCTCGTCTCGTTAAGTCACCCGAGCCCCACGGGCCAGAGAAGTTTCCACAACCTTCCCGACTCTCCCTCCGCCTCCGCCCGCTCTAATTGGGCAGTGGGAGGACTTCAAACAGCGTCTTAATCGCTGGTGTGAATCGCCGTCTCGCTGGAGCGTCACTCATTTCCTATTGGCTAATTAGTCAGCACTGCGCTGGACATTTCACAATCCTTTTAATTGGAGAGGCTCCAGATGAGGCCTGTGCTCCTGAGCAGAGCAAAACCTAAAACCACCGACGGAGGGAACGCACAGAGGGAGGGGGGGGTGGAGGAGGAGGAGGGAGGGGTCATGTATAAATAACTGCCCTCAATACACAAATCCAGCGACTATGAGAGAGAGAGAGATAAAGAGTACGGAGCAGGCCGACGTGGCCGAGCTTTACTTTTCTATTCTGTTTGTTCTTTTTGCAGATTTCAGCAACAAACTTAATCACTTTATAGAGTTTACAGTGATTTAACCCGACGGTAATAAAAGTCACAATCATCAGCCACGAGCAACAAAAACAAACGAATGAGTTTATTAGGTTTAGTTTTTAACCTCGATAATATTCTCAATAATCCGTAACGCAGCCACACGTGTTTCATTTTATGGTTTTAAGCCAGAATGCTGAAAAGTGTTTGAGCTGTTCACATTTCAGTTTGAAGGTGACACCCTGGGAGTGAGTAGAACGTGTTTTCAGATATTTTATTGATTAAACTATTTTAGTTAACTAAGAAAACAACCTTAAGTTAAAGTACCGAAGAACTATCAGCAACGTTCCTTACAAAGTAAAGGTCCTCGTCAGAATATGTCGTATTATTATGTGGTTATATTTTATCTTTTGTTGTTTGTTTGAGTGGAACTTGCAACCATTCATACTGTTATTTATAAAACTTATTATAATATAAACACACTGTTTGTATAAATATATGTATTTACTTATACAGTATATCAAATAAGTGTAGCGGCATTAAAAAGTACAGATATTTAACCCACTGGAAAAGAGTAGCAGCATAAAAACACAAATACTTCAGGTGTTTACTCGAGTACATTATGAATAAATGTTCCCGCCACAGCAACAACAGGTTCGACAGCGTCAGAGGAAACCGGATTAACAGATTAAGTTTGTAGATTCTCCTGAAAAGTCGAAACAGTTGATGACAAAAAACAACGAGTTCCAGAGTTTCTGTTGAACTTTGATCAAATACAAGTGAGAAGAATTATGTCATTTATTAACCAAATAAATTGCGGAAGTCCGTTTTTGGGCTCAAAGTGTAACTTCTCAGACTCAAGGTCACGTCGCTCGTCTGCAGGTTTGTTGTGTCGTATGTGTGACGGGAGCAGAAACAGACGTATGGGCCGACTCAGTGTGTGGGACCGAGCATACGGGTGATGTGTTAAACACACACACACACACACACACACACACACACACACTGTCCCGTCTGGCTGAGCCTCGCCGTCTCTGCAGGGAGAAACATTTTGGACAGTGTTTTGGCAGCCGTACAAAATCGATGTCTGAGATAAAATGTGCGCTGGCGAGAGGTAAATAAACTCCCCGAGCAGAACAGATAAGGTTTCTGCTGGAGTCCCAGGTAATGTGGCGGCTGAGGGATTTGACTTTGTCAGAAGGAGCCAACTTTGCTTCGCAGCAATTGGCTCCTTGAAGGGAGGGGGGGGGGAGGGGGAGGGGACGTGTGTGTGTGAGATTAAAAAAAAAAACTTCTAGATGAATGCTGGCTCACACCAACATCAAATAATAGCTCAAGATGTATTCCACGGTATTAGCTGTACTAGCTCATGGCACATACACTGTAAATAAAGTTGGACAACACGAAGGCTCCTAAAAGTGAACGCAAATCATCTTCATCGCCCCCTGGTGGCTGGCTGCAGTATAGATCAAAAACCCCACCTCCTCCATGTTAGCAGATGGGACTTTAAATATTTGAGTGCTGCTGACCCTCCTCCACCCTCCTCCACCCTCCTCCACCCTCCCTGCCTCACCCTGTGGCTTCGAAAGGACATTTTCAGAGACGAACAACCTGCACCACGACTCTGCATGTGTCGTATTGGTCTAATCTAAATTAGATTAACTGTCATCCTACAGTTGTATTTCTATTATTGCTACAGGTTGTTTTTTTTTCTATGCCCCCTTTAGCATATCTAACCATTTTAGGTTCGGGGCATCGCTGTTGGATTTTTCTGTCCCAAGTCGTTCCTCACTTTTTCCCCTCTCTTCTTTTTGACCTCGGGTCTGAAGGTAGTTGTTGACGGGGACATTTAAAGCTCACTGAGACACTGTCCGTGATATCTGACCCCACACACACACACAGACCTGACCTCCCTGTGTGTCTCTGAGGATTTCAGTCAGTCCCATTTGATTTGTGTTTCTCAGCTGAGTGGGAAACCAGCGGAGAGTCGTCTCTAATTAAATGTGGGGTAGACCCACAGTCTCCTGCTCTGAGCAGCCTGGTGTTTATATTAACTCCCAGAGACACTTGGCTGCTCACACAGAAAACCCACTATACCCATATTTGGTCACATTGTCTGGCGAGTGTGTGTGCGTGTGTGTGTGCGCTGATACGATTCTCAATCTGTTATATTGAAAAGCTCAATATGAACTTAAAAATCAAATAACAGTCGCTAATTTAAGATTGTAGAATATCCTGGGTTCTAACATGTATATTGTTCTAAACTGTAAATTAAGATGGACGACTCAGCTCCACTTCCTGTCACTATTCAGAAATGCAGCTAAAATATCCCAGGTACGAACGCCGCCATCTTTGGTGCTTTGTTAGTTTGGTCCATATCCCGTCTGCTAACATGGATGAGGCAGGGTTCATGATCAGTATTGTAGCCAGCCATCAGATTTGCCTTCACTTTCTGGGAGCCGTCACGTCGTCCATCTTTATGTCTCGTCTCTGATACGGTTAAATGAAATTCTACTTTGTGTTTTCCTGCAGGTTTCAGGAGACAATTATCTCACTGGAAATTACCAGATAACATATTCAGCAGGAGAAATGTCAAAAAGTTCACAAGTTAAAAAAAAAAATATATATATATAGAAATCCCTGACATCAAATGAGGTGTTGTCCCTGTGGCAGATGAGAGCAGCAGATTAGGTTTACACCAAACATTAAAGTTCTGCAGACAGACACTCGCATTAATTGGAATCAGGCTTCACACCTCCATCGACTGCGTGTTTACTTTCCCTCGTCTTTGTCGCAGAGCTGCAGGATTTTTAATGAAAACTCCTGATGGCTTTCAGCTCACTCCTGTGTGAGAGATGGTTTTTTTTTTTTTTTTTGTGAGTTAAAAAATGAGCGCGAGGCGAGAGGGACAGGGTGAACAGTTTTTAATAACAAGTCTAAATCCTGAGCCAAGTCATTTCTTTTCTGTCTTCCAGACGTACAGCGCAGGAATAATCCGGCTGGAGGCTGTTTATGGCTATTGACAAAGTGTCAATAAAGACAAATCCCAGCATTTAACAGTGTTTGCACAGCAGCTCTTACAGAGAAATATCACACAGGCTTTTTCATGACCTCCAACAACGAATGTAACTGTTTCCTCGAGGCTGTTTCCTTTTCATCATTGCTCTTATCTGGTTCCTCCCACATTCTGAACACAAACAGCAGCTTACAGTCTTTCCACAATGAAAATTTCTGGCGTCCCCTTTGCATAAAACTCGTAAACTCATCTCCCTCCTCCTCTGTTTGACCAGGATCCCGCTAGACGTGGACCCTCTGGCAGTGTTCGCCTCTCTGTCCCCCGAGGGCGTCCTCATCATCGAAGCCCGACAGACGCCGCCGTATCACCTCTTCTGTGGCGAGGGCCCCCAGGGTGGCGAAACGCCGGAGGTGGAGATCTCCAGGCCCCAAGAGGCCCCCGTGGTCTGAACCCCGACGTTTGACTGAGACGACAGATCAACCCGCACCATCAGTTTCAAGTTTGATATGAAATTTGTGGCCTTCAGCTTCATGTTGTTACAAACCTGGATGTAAAATATGCAAAGTTTACTTTACATGGATAAAGTAAAGTCCTATTGTTCGTGTTAAAGCTGCAAGAGTTCAGTGTAGAAAACATTTTTACAAGCCTTAACAAAGAACAGCCTCATCTTCTAGCTAATGGAAATGCAACAGACTTTTTTTTTTATCCCAAATGAAATTCTCCGTCACTTTAGAGCTGCAGCTAAAACAATTCTTTTCATTGTTGATTAATCTGCTGATTGTTTTCTCAGTTAATAGTTTTGTGCATAAAATCAAAATAGGAAAGTATCTTAAAGGTGACGCCTTCAGACATGAAGACATTTCATTTACTTTTACGATTAAAACAAAGATTCATCACGTAGAAAATGGAACCAGTTATTTTTTCGTGACTCTTCTGCTCAAAGAAATCGACTCAAACGGTTTATCTGCTTACAGCAGCACTATGCACAGAGTGAATCACCACGTGTGGCTGTAGAGGGCGCTGTTCTGCAGTAAAAGATACATGGTGTTGCTTTAAGTTGGAAATTTTGGTTAATTCTCGGTAGACGATCGATGCTTCGTTCACGTAGAAACCTGCGTTCTGGAAGGTTCACGCCATTCGTCATGAAAAGATGATCTGTTTGTTTTAGGTTTTAGAAAAAATGTCCAATGTTGTAATTTTTCTTATGAGAATCGTCTCTTTTCTCAAGAATCTGTCTCGGGGGCAAAAAAAATCCTCCACGTTCATCGTACGTCAACTGGTTTGTGATCGTCTGATCCGCTGAAAATTTACCTGGACTCGGAGCCCAGCAGAATCTATCCACGTGTGGCTGCAGAGGGCGCTGTTGCTCAGTAAAAGCTGCACAGTGTTGCTTTAAAATAGCTGCAAATTGATTATCCGATGATTTAAATTCTGTTCCCCGAAGCGGGACTCGATGACTTTAGGTCCTTGGTTCTGTTTCATCCCAACGATTTCCTTTGTTACGAAATGATCACAGACCAGCTGGTTTGGTAAACATGAGTTTCAGCGTCAGGTTTCATGTTTTCTGGGAACCCGAAGATCCAAAATATCAAAAGTGCCTTTATTTACTCAGATCTACCACGGTTTGACCCTTTAGTCACTTCCACTGGAGAGACGTTCTGTGGCTTGAGTAGAGGGTGAATTGTGTACATTAATACTGTGTTCTACCAAAGTGTATTGTAAATATACTTTAATATGTACCAATTCATTATAGATGTTAAACAACTGTTGCAGGTTTTTGCAACATGTTTGGATTTTTTCTTTTTTTTGTATGTGAGAATTCAGAAAGATGGTTGCATGATTGTCGGAGCGGACATGTTTGCCAAAGACGTTTTTTTTTTTCTTCCTGCCTTCTTTTATCTGTTGATGTCTTTGTATCGGCTGATGCAATAAAAAATGACCAGCCAGTGTCTCCATGTGTCTTAACATCTGTTTGGTTTTTTGGTTTTTTTAATTGAGAACCGTGCCACTCGCGGGCCGGGTTCCAGGGATCCGGGGAGGCTGCGGTCGTATTGTTGGATAACAGAAGGATTTGAGCGGCGGATTAGCGGAGAGCTTGATGCTGGGTTCTGCAGAATGGGCCGAACAAACTTGCCAGAGCTTTTGAAAGCGGCTGCAAAAAAAAAAAATTGGGGCAGTTCCATCGCATGTTGAGTGACGCAAAATAAAGTAATCTCCTCTGTGTGTTGGAGTCAGAAGGATGATCACTTTGAATTTTTAAAAAAAGTTTCCAAACTTTCTGCTGCGGCGTCAACAAATGTGCGAAGGCGCTGCTCTGTGTTGCGGTGCCAGCCGCTCACATACACTGTATTTATTGGTATTAGATCATACGTGTGGACTGTGTTGCCGTGGCAACGGCATAATTGGAAGCGTGCCAGCGTGTCCTCTGGCATGTTGCTCGTGTAGAGAAGTGACTAACGCACCAAGCAGCTGTGCAAACCTACAGTATCTGATGAATGTCAGAGCCTCTCAGCTGAAACAACATGATAATTCATCTGTTTAAACTCAGGTAATTGTGAACATGATGATCCGTCGCTTTCTGACTCTCCTGCAGTTCAGGTGAGAATTGAGAGGCTGTGGATGTAAACACATGAAGACATAATGACACAAACTCATTTTCACATGCTGTTGCTTTATTGGAGCTCCAAAGACGGCAGTTATTTGGCTGTTTTGAATAAAAGGCATCCTCAGACCTGATGCTGCAGGCGAGCAGTGCAGGCTGTGTCAGTGTTGTGTTAGTGTTGTGTTAGTGTGCAGCATTTCAGCGATGCTCTGTTGTGTGTGTCTACTCGGTCTGCTCTTGTTTTGTGTCGGGAGCCTCCAGCTCCTGGCTCGGGACCTCGCTCAGTGGACTTTTGCCCGGCTCCAGCTCCTCGGGCTGGGTGATCTCCTCTGCTGAGCCCGACATTACCTGGATCTCTCCACCCACGGCTGGTTCTTTGTGTTCCGGCTGTTTGGACGCGTCTGTATCAGGGATTTCCTGGTGTCCCATGGCTTCATCCTGCTTAGAGGAATCTTGAAGACTCTCTGTGCCGTTGCCATCTGCTGACACTGAAGGGTTGGACTCTCCAGCTGGCTTTTCATGGGTGTCCTCCTGTTCCCTCTCGTCGTCCTGCTGAGGCTCTGCTGTGGCACTGCCAGGGTCGGCCTGGTCAACGTGGACCTCTGCTGCAGAACCCTCCTCCACAGGATCCTCCGCAGACTGAACCTCTGGGGCCTCTGGCTCTCTGCTGCTGTCTGGCTCTGTTTCAGGGGTTTCTTCCTCCTCGTGTTTTTCCTCCTCCTCTCCGGTAGCTGCCACCTCCACCTCCACCTGCATGTGTTCACATGTATAAAATGTCAGCAGTGAAATTAGTGTTTATGATTAGAGGTGAGCTCAGCTTTAACTCAATACCGAGTTTGAAATTGGACATAGATGCATTTCACAGTTTTTGTTCAGAGCTTGTTATTAAAAATCTACAGTATAAAGATTTTTTAACAAAATGAACCCTTTAACGTGTTTTGCTGTAAAGGCAGGTGGAAATAACAGGTCATATATTTCATCATTTAAAAGACTAAGACCATAATGACTGTGAGATATTGTCGGTCTAGATTAGTTAGTTAGCTGAAAGAGATTCTCCGCTCGGACGAGGGAAGATAACGTGTTTTTGTTTACAGCACATAGACGCTGGCTTCGGCCTTTATCACCTAAAAAAACAATTTTTGTCATCTTTGCTAGTTGTATGGACACAAGTGTGATCAATCCCATCAAACCGTCAGCAAGAAAGTAAATAAGCAAATCTCAGAATCCCTGATTGTTAGTATTAATGTGAACAACAACTTCTTATCACCTTTATAGGGATGATAATGGCAGCAGGAACAGAGGTTTCAGGGACCGGAGCCTCCACCGTCAGGATACCGTCCACAGAAAGTGTGGACGTGATTTTAGTTGCATCAATTTCAGCCGGGAGCCTGAAAGTGACAGGGTCATGTTGACAAATCCACTTCAAACTCATGTTTGTAATATTTGACTTTTCAGCTCAGTGAGCATCGAGAGATGAGATGCTGCTGGAGACAGACGCTCGCTGCTGCAGACTCGTGTTTAAAATAGCCGGGCAGGTTAATATCATGTTTACTTTACCTGTATTTCCGTGTAAAACATCTGGCAATAAATCCATGCTCGTCTCGCCGCTCCTCGTGTCTCCCTGGGGATGGATTACCGTTTATGGGGAGGAATGTGAGGACACAGAGGAATCAAGCCACACTGAGAAAACCACTCAACACAGAAATTAATTTCTGCCACAGAGCTGTGATTTTAATTTCCCTGAGCACATTATTTAAGCAGCTCTCTAATTTTCTTACATTCGGTTTCCTCTCCGTCAGTTTTCAGGGGGGTTTATTCTGTGAACTGTGAGAGAACTCTATCTCGATAACTCTGTTTCTCTTTGAGATGACAATATTAGATAAGGCTATTAATATTTATCCAACAGTAGAAACTATCCTCTGTGCAAAAGTAATTAGCAATGTTAATAAAGTGAACTTTAATCAACAGAGCTGCGAGCCCATGTTCCGTACCTCCAACCTCCAGGAATCCATCTTTGACGCTGAGAGAAATCTCGGTGGGGGAGAAGTGAGCCAGGTCCAGGCCGACCCTCCACGTGCACTGCTCCTGGCTAATCTTCTGGCCGGGATGATGCATCGACCCAGAGATGTAAGGCACAAACAGTGGAGCGGCTGCGTACGCCGGCCAAGCAGAGGCTGCCAAACTCCTCTGGAGCCAGTCCACATTCATCCACCAAGGGTCCCCCGGCTCCAGGAAAGGCGGCAGGCCAACGTCCTGATTGAAAAGCCGGCTGGACGGCCACCATTTTCTCAGGGGGTACCAGGGGCCACCGCTGCCATACGCCCCACATGACAGCTCTGTTTTGGCCTGTTCACTCATGTTCGCGGGAAAAAAAGACAAATTGGGAGAGGATGAAAAATAGCTGCACTATTGTGGCGACGGTCCTCAAGTAACTTTTGGAGATTTCCTCAATTAAACTGGACTTAGCCAGTGAGGGAATGATAAGAGAAGTGCGGTGAGGGGCTTTATATAACGCTCCCGTCTGCTTTGGCACATATCAAACACTCATGGCGATCCCGTGAGAAGGGAGTGTGCATGAGGTGATGGGTGTGGAGGGAGGGTCGGCCCGCAGACGCCTGCAGACTAATTAGTTGTATTTATAACTTTTGAGGCAGCGATGGCAAATAGCGAGCAGTTGGCTGAGGCTGCAGCTTGTGTTTGAACTGTTGCATCTGCTGCCTGAAGGCTTCTCACATCCCAGTGAACTCTATTCTGTCAGCGGTGACCAGGCTCCTCCGTCCCGTCATGAGCCGGTGATCCTGCCTCCTCCTCCTCCTCCTCCCCCCCGTGCGTCTCACCCCTCGCAGGACACAGCAGTGTGTCTGGAGCATGAAACACCTCGGCCCGGGAGAGAGAACACTCCTCTTTCTTGTGTTATCGCAGACATTTCAGTGGCACGTGTGCACAAAGATCCCCTCCACTCCATTTCTCTCTCGCTCTGCAGGATTATTGTTGTTCCCTCTTTTATCAAGTGTGACAGACTTGTCAGAGTTGTATTTTTAGAGCAGTGTGCCCTGAGATCTTGGCGTACTGTCCACTGGAGCACAAAAACAGATTGAGCAGATGTTTCTGACACTGTGTGCGAGGCCTGACACACAGATTCTGTCTGTAGCAAACGCTGCAGAGGTTAAACTGGGATTCTCTGCTGCTGCTCCTCTTTCTTTTTTTTTAACCATCGTTAGATATTTCCACCCCGCTCGTGTTGGAGGCTCATACGCCCACAGAGCAATGAGGCTTCATGCTGCAAGACTTGGTCAGTGGTGCTGACACTCAAAGAGAAACTATAAACACTGTTTGTGTGGCTGAGAGTTTTCCAGCCGCTGAAGAGATGGAGCACGGAAAGTTAGATTAATGAACTGAGAGACAATTGTTATTGATCCTGCAACATTATCTTAATCTACTAGTTTGGATTGAGAGCACGAAGCGATCCTGATAAAACCAAATATCACAGACTGAAGCTCTGGATTGAATCAGTGGTTTCACAATGATTTGACTGTTGGTTTCTCACAATCCCAAAAGGGTGGGTGATGATGATGGAAAAGACACAATAATGATAATAACAATAAGTGAGACCTCTTCCACACTCGTGTCGGCCTCCGTGTGTGACCATCGCCTGTGTTTGTTTCTGACTACTTTCTATAAGTTTTACTGCCTTTTTCCGGTTTTTCAAAAAGCACGTGTGATATAATTTGTTGCGTTGATCGGTACAGGTAGAGGAAGTCCGACAGGAGGTGGAGGAGAGTCACGAAGCCGGAAGCTGAACTTTATCTGGCAGAGCGGCCGAGAAGCTCCCGTGAAGCATCAGGCGACCTTCACATCTGGAAATCAAACCAGTGATGGAGAATATGAGACAACATGTGGGACAGGTATTCCACACTGTGTGTATAAAGAGAATACGATACTTCAGAATATTACTTAAGATGATTTTTTCCACAGCCCCTGAAAACACATCATCTCAATCGCTTTGATCTCTTGCGTCAGGATTCACTTCAAAGATCACTCGCTATTTATTTCTTACCCAAAATATAAAATGCCTCATCTGAAGGAAGTCTGGCAGCTGCTGAAGATCAGAAAGTCTCCGTGGTCCCTGATGCTTTTCCTCCCTGCCTAAGCTCTTCTCAACTGATATTTTCATGTCTGTGTGTGTGAATCCTTTAATTTCACTGCAGGGTTTTTATCTTTCATTCATCTCTCTATAGCACCCCACCCCCCACCTCCCTCCAGAGTGGTCCCTTCCCCTCACTTCATCTATTTCTAAAGGACACTGATCCTCCTTCACTCTCAAGCACGTCACAAATAAACCTGAAAAATCTGAAAGCACATTTCAGACTAGAAACATGACCCAGTTTCATTCGAACGTTTTCCTAATCCGTAACGTGTTGTGTCCGACCCCTCCCCCTCCAATGCCTTTTGTAACATGATAAGTCACCTGTGCAAAGGGGGAGGGCTCTGCAACAGCGAATCACAAGGCTTCAAACAGCCCGCCATGGATCCACAGGATAACAGCAATGCATCAAGGGGGATGAAGTGTCAAACGGCTGGTTTGTTCCTGTGGACACTGTATTCATCATGGTTATTGTGAGGCCGGCTCTGAGGCGGGCCAGCTCGCCGGCGAATAGAGACGTGGCTCGTATCAAAACTGACGCCTCAGAACTGACGGGCCGATCCATGGAAACGAATACTTTGGTGGGCGAGTAATTGCAGCCGGGGATGAGTCAGGAAAAGATGGAGAGCGACAGCGCTTGAACTTAGATCCAACACAAAACGATGCTATCGCTTGAAGAAACGCGTTTGCTGAATTGGTTTGGTCGAGCCTGCTGCCAATCCATTGTCTCTATGACTACAGCGAACAGGAACGGCCCAGAACACGCCGTGAATCACCAAGGAGGGGAAACAAGGCAATCTCATCTTCTGCGGTTTCCTGTGCGATGTTATTACATTTACGATGGTTTTGATTCAGCTCTCTGTGGGGCCGTTAAGACAAATGCAATACTAACAACATTGGTGTTGGTGTGTTGCTCCCCGGTGCTGCAGGAAACACAGACGCCAAGAGACCATTTCTGAAATGTTCTCCAGTTTTTCCATTACATGTGTGAACGGAGCGTGTGTTTATCGCGTGCGTTTTCACACGGGCTCGTACAGTGATTCATACGATGAGGTCTCTATTCCCTCCGTCTACTGACGGAGCAGAGGGGCAACACCAGTGTCCCAGTTTGACTTGAAAGAGATTTGCAGCAAATGAGCTCATCCATCAACAGAAGCGTGTCGAGACAAGGGAATGACGAGGAGGAGGAGGGTGAGGAGGACGATGAAGAGGGACGGTGGGGCGGAGCAGAGGCAGGATTCGCTCAGAGAAGCCTCTCGGTGAAATATGACGGCCGTGGCGTTTCCACGATCTTCGACACCTTCTCCTTTGGATGTTTTAGCTTGAAGACGGGAGCTCTGCCTGGTCCTTGTCCAGTTCATTGTGGCTTTACCACAAATCTAAAAAGCTATATTAACCTAAGGGGAGTAGCATTTTTAATTATATTCATTATCAATACTCTTTTAAAATAATAAAACCACTTAACGTACAGTTTTCCCCTCCCAGCTCCCAACATTAAAACCCAGTACATCACGTTTTACGACTGAACTTCTCCATTAAATTCTGTTTAATATATTTGGTACTTTACTCTCCATTAGAAATAAATGTAAGCAGATGTAAGTTTGGCTCCACAGCACATCGGTGACCTACCACAGGGATTCATTTTGAATGGCCATAAAGGGATTCGAACTGGAAGCTTAAAAATGTTTGAAACAATAAATAATCTGTTTTTAGATCAGCTTTACTGAAGCTAACACTACTTTCATAAATGAAACCATAAGGAATCCTAAATAAATTGTTTATTTTGCTGAAAGATGAGCGAGGCTGAGTCGCATTCAGTCGACTGCAACATGTGCAGGTTCATCGTTCTGCTTATTTCCTGAAAAAGATTTTATTCCCATAATATTTCAGTTTTATTCTCACTATCTCCGTTTGTCTTCTTCATTAAGTAAGGTCCTCTAAACTCTGCAGATTGTAGAAAATAGAGCAAAATATTCTTAAAATGAAAACTCTAGAACATCCACCTCGTGCGTCTTCGCTCTCTGTCTTCGCTCTATTCATAGGCGACCACAGACGACCCAGCAAAGATCGTCCGTTCACAGCGATCTTCCAGATTCCACAGGAGGAAGTCAGGTGTGACCCACATTTACCCCCCCCCCGCCACACACACACACCCTGTTATCTCATTTACACTGAACAAAACATCAGTTTATCTTGCTTAAGGAGTTTTTTGTAACTGGTTGCAGTTAATTACGTGGAGATTAATTGCCTGATTATCTGTCATTTCCATATTAGAGACTATTCTTGCAGTTGGCCTGCTGCCCAGCCTGCAGAGGTCACATGGGGATGAGTCTTCCTCGGGTGAAGAGGTGCCGTGCGCTCCCAAACAGCTCAGACGACACGAAGCTGCTCGTTCTTTTTTATTAATTTTTTTTTACTATCTCTCTGTTTCTCTGCACTTTCTTTTTAGAATTTGCCAATTTGTCAAACCCAGGCAGGAAAAAACAGACGACGTGATTTCCTCGAGGAAGAATCCGGGCTATGCCAAGCGAGAGTCACATCTGTGGGTGTTTATCAAATATAAATATGCGTTGATATGAATATGTGGTGTCGAGCCACAGTTTCCCCTGGAACAGACGAGGACTGCTGCGACGCCTATTTATGGAAAAACTCGCATTTTACAAAACAGCAACAGTTTGCTCGCTGCACGTATACATATGCTCGCCTTTCAGAGATTTGAGTCCTGCAGGCAGTGGAGACCTGGCACTGAGGACGCTGTGGCATTTGGTCCAGTGTGTGTGTGTGTGTGTGCAACCCCCTAACCCCACTACAGGGTGTAGAGACAACTTCCTCCGGGGGCAGCCAAGGGTACTTCGCAGCGGCTGACATTTCTGACAGCCTCTGATAGAGCCCAGAGTGCTGAATTATTCATACAGGTGTTATGGGGAAAGGTTGCCATTTTCACAGGAGAGACTAACCCCCGGATGTGTCGAGGCTGTTTATCCCTGCTGGTGAATACAGGAGTAATGATTTGATGGCTTTCGGGCCAAATGGCAGCTCATTCTCTGTCGGTTCACCTGTGGAGAGCTCACACATCTCACCACCTCTCATTCAGCCCGGTTTAGTTTTTTCCGCTTGGACGGTCAAGTGGAAATATTTGACGTGTAGTGATCTGTTTTTCAGCAACATCAAATTTCATAAATGGGAATATGAACCACTTGATTATTAAATATTCAGCAGCAAGAGTCACTTCACCCAAATCACTGAACAGATTTTATGTAGTGCACTCTCACCATGCTGAGGATATTGGTTTTACACAACACGCTTTACTTACATTTTACTGAGGGGACATTTCTGCTTCC